ATTATTATTATTATTATTGGTATCAAGACGGAGCTTTAACTCTAAACAATTTTGAAATTTGAAAATTTATGTTTTTTGACTCGCCATCCGAGTGAGGAAGATTTGTGATATGTGATGATTAGAAGGCCCCGGGACGCCGTCGATGATCGGTTCATCTTTTTGTATGATGCGACTTCAAAAAAACTCTTCAATGACGTTCAAAATGAAATAAAATTATAAAAAAATACCTTCCGACAGTAATTTTACTACTCTGTAAGTTCAATAATGAAGTATGTTCCTATAGTGTTGCTCTGAGAAAATTCATTCACAGAAAAAGCGCAAGGAACGCGAAATTTGAACTTCGATTGTTTTTTCAGCGCACTCTAGCGGATTTACTTAATTTCAGTCTTATAAAAAAATTTATAGGTAAACAAGACATTTTCATTATAAAATTCTCTCTTCAAAATTTAATTTAGGTACTTTTAATCGCAAATAACATTTTTGATCAAAAAATAAAACATAAGTGAGATATTTGCAAAAACGGAATTTTAGGTAATTTTTGGGTAGTTTTTTCAAAAAATGCAGCTTAAGTGGTGGAAATGTCTTCACACAAACGTACAATTTCGATTCGGTGTCCAAAAATACCAAAGAGCCACTCAATAAAAATTTTTTGAGAAATTTTCCCCAAGAGGCCGTATCTTACTCCTGATTGCCGGACTAGGACCGAAAATGACGCTCATGCGCTAACTTTGATAGGCTTAGGCATTGGGTTAAAACCGTCGCACATTCTTTGGATCAAGTTTAAAGTTGTTTTTAGGAGGGGGTCATCGATTGACAGACGGACCTAATCGAATTTCGGACTTTCAAAAGCCATCCTGTCGTTCGATGCCATCAAGAAATTAGCACCACCTTTATAAGCCATCCTTCCTGTCATGCGGTGTCGGCGAGAAATTGAAGGCACCTTATAAGTTGCCAATCGATTTTCGTCGAAACCGCGTGACATGGACTCAACAAAGAGCACAACTGATTACACTGACTAATAACGTGACTCCATTCCTATTTTTATCTGCTTCATCTGATCATATCCAGTCTACTAACACAAAATTTCAACAATGGCATTTCTGACCAATTGTTGTAGAGTTACTAGGTCTGCCCATAGAGTATCCGACCTTGTTTCTTATCTTGCCATCGACAGTTGATAAGAGGTTGGGGCTTGGGATTATCTTTGAAAGGACTCTTCTGAGTGCAGGTGCACAGCCCGATTATCACACATTCAATCAGTAGTTAGAAATTTGCTGCTTAGTGCGTGCGATTCTGCTGTAATCATCAGATTTCATTTGCCCTAAAAAGAAGAAGTTATGAAGAAGATCATAACAGGGGACAAGTCTTTGGTCCATCAGTGTGACCCTGAAACAAAAAAAGCAATCGTCAGTTTGGACAGCACCTCGGACACTTCACCCGAAGAAAGCTCGGAAAAGTTGCAGCAATGTAAAAACAATGTTGACTGTCGTCTTTGATCATGAAGGTGTCGTCCATCATGAATACACTCCGCAAGGCCCCTTTAGTGACACAAAGTTTCTCAGTGGCTCTCTGTATTGATTGTAGAGCCTTGCGTAGCGTATTCATGATGGACGACACCTTCATGATTGAAGAGGACCGCCAACATTGTTTTCACATTGCTGCAACTCTTCTGAGCTTTCTTCAGACGAGGTGTTCCAGGTGCGATCCAATCTGACGATTGCACTTTTGTCTCGGGGTCGAGGGACCCAAGACTCGTCCCCTGCGATGATCTTTTTGACAACTTCTTCTTTTTCAGGAAAAACGAAATCCGATGACTACAGCAGAATAGTACACATTAAGCAGCAACTTACCGATAACAAATGTGTGATAATCCGGCTATGCACCTGCACTCAGGAGAGTCCTCGCAAAGATAATAACAAGCCCCAACCTCTTATCATTATAGACCTGTGCGATTAATCAAACGTAAATCGTTATCTGTTTGAGAAATTTATCATGATTGATTCAATTAATTTGACTTCAATGTTTCGCGCCGCATTTTGAATTTGAAATTCCCGCCCCCTTTGTTCGAATTTGAGTCACGTGTACGGTGGCGCGCTGCTAGCCTCTTGCGGTAAAAACTCGCACTGAAAATAGTGATTACCCCGCGAAAATGTCCCCATCAGATTTGTGCCGCGATTTCACGTCGGTGATGATGGTTCTTCTCATCAGTGCTGATACTTTTGATTGGAGAGGTTGGCAGTGCATCATATAAAAAGTTAAATAATTAAATGGTCTTATTTTAAGAGGCTACCTACTTCCATTTGCTTCTCTTTTAGAAAGATCTTCTCTCTTCTTTCTTAGGCCAAAAAGCTGGAAGAGGTCTAGTTTATTTAGGGTGGAAAGGATCTTTTAAAAAGATAAGACAATGAGTCAACGTCGAGTGGAAGAAGAAAAAAAAAAAAAAAAAAATATTGGAGGAAAATCATCAGTTTTCAAACTGTTTTGAAAAATATCTTTGAGAACTTACATACTTACCTGCTTCAACTTTATTTTTGGTCACGAAAACCAAAAAACAACTTTGTTTTTGGTCAAAAGGAAGAAAAAAAATCATCGAGCTCTGTTTCACTTTTTCACTTTTTTCCCGATTTTAGTTGTAATAGCGATTAATTTCATTAATCGTAATCGAATCATAATCGAATTGACAAATCCATAATCGCACAGGTCTACAACCATTGATGGCAAGATAATCAACAAAGTCAGATACTTTCCGAACCTTGTAGACCTCGTAGGTACTTATCAGGTGATAAAGGTTAACTACAGTCAATAAGATTATGGTCAATTATAGGAGGATGTCATGACTCACCGACTAAAAGAGGGGTTGGAACAAGCACTCCAATCACTAGCAAACGTTTTGAAAGTAGAACCAGTTGACACAGAACCTCCTGCTGAAGAGACATCTTCTTCCATTTGTTCTGCAATTGCATTTCCTGTAAGAACATCATGCTCCCTAACTGCTTCTTGCGTCAAACCAGTGTCACCTGAAATAGAACATGACATCTTCAAATGAATGCAGTATCCCAACTGATATCTATACAAACTGAGAGCGGTTTGACACACGAGTCATTTGGACAGAAAGTTGGTAGTTCTGCCACCTGCATTAGAATTCGGTATAAAACTGAAAATCTAAATACAGAGAGAACAAGTTCATTTGAGCACAGTTTTTTCTCAAAGAGATATGCTGCGTTAAGCAGAGAGAAACCAAGCCACATCAGCTATTGCCAAATTTAGTTGGGCGATCCAATGTTTTATAAGAGTTTTTTTTATCATCACTGATTGATACTATCATTTCGGTCTCTTCAGTGAAACATTGAGGAGTGAAATATTAAGGAATAACAACTGACTCGCTAAATCCAGGTTTTACTTAGCGTTGGACTGCCGGGGTGTGTTCTGAATTAATGAGTAACAATGTGTACCATTACAACTTTTAACATGATCCTAACGCACTGAACAATTGATTTACAAAAGAAACTTACCTCCAAATAGTGACAAAAAAGTAAAAACTCATGAAAATGGCTAAATATTGAGCTAGTGTCCATGTCTGTTATCACTAAGCAGGTGTAAACGATTGCCCATTGACAACAGTCTTCCTGAAAAATGGGGTTTATCCCATCGGTTCTTATTCATCTAGTGAGGATTCTAACCATTTAAACGTACGAGAAATCCATTTCTGAATTTCATTTTATTCAAAAAATCATAGATTGACTCGATATTTGCATTTGAAAAGTGGCTGCCAATTCCTTATGGGAAAATACATTGTAAGTGATGAAAAGACCAGGTCTGTCGAACCATTTTACGTCACACGTATGGCGGATCCAGTACCACGTTAAAGTGACCCTTTGGAAAATCCGAATTTTGAGGCGTTTTTATATTGATTTTTGGGGGGTTTCCAGTGATCAAAAAACTCTGGGAAAATTCATGTGACATCAGGAGCCTTAGTTCTTTCGATTAAAGCAATAAAAAAAATTGGTGCAACAGGCCCATTATTTAGATCAAAAGTCCGATGGATGGAATCAAATTTTGATACGTTCGACCTTCCATTAAACTTTTCAGCTGCTTTAGTCCAATCAAAGGTTAGACCAGGTGAATCAGGCTTAAATGCCAGATCTTTACTTCAAATGAACCTGGAATAAACCAAAGAGATTCAGTAAGCACCCTATCACCTCCAAAGTGAAACTTGCCTAGGGGGAAAGAAGCGTCTCATAGGTCTGGGCACTCTCTGTGGCTACAAAGTTGATTCAGCTCCATTCTACTTCTGATGTTAATTAAATTAAATGAAATTGTAACATATAGCTTTATGTCATGTTCTGTCAGAACCCATAACGATTGTCAATAGAAGACTGAGTTGACTTACCTAAATTTTGCGAGAAAAAACGGGATTTAGCGGAGTCACGATGCTTTTGAATCGTTGGATTGGAGCTAGAGCTCTGACCCTTGACCCATCGTTTTCCTTTGGAATTGATTCTTTTGCGATATTTCGCCATTGTAAAATTCAAACAAACGACAAACTACATCAAAAAAATATTTTAAAAAATTTCAATGCATCACTCGTGTGCATACAAGACTTGAACCGGATTATTTAACCTCCCACAAAATGTGCGCGCATCACATGTCGTATGGCATGGCCGATTGAGCACCGGCAGGGCTCTCGCATCAGAATTCACGATGTTCCGGGAGAAGTTCCGGAAAAGTTCCGGGAATTCTCCGGAAATTCTCCGATTTTACAAAAAAAGTTCCGAAAAGTTCCGGATTATTTAAAAATGGTAATTTACTCGTGAAATATGCATTAAAATGCAAATTTAAACGGGAAAACAAGTCACACTGACAATTGCCGACATGCAGAGAGCGTAAGCTATAAATTACATACACAGATTTAATTTAAAATTCAGAAAACAAGATTGGCAGAAAAGGCGGGAAGCTTGAATTCGGCAGAAAAGGCGGAAGCTTGAATTTGGCAGATTAAGTCATCAAAATGAGATTAAGTAACATTAATTCGTCTCTAATCGAAGAAAAGGATTGCACACTAAATTCTGCCCTGTTACTATAATATTTAAGCAAAAAATAAAAATTAAAAATGCACCGAAAAAAAGTATCTTCGAGATAGATATCGAAGAATACTTTCATCAGCCTGCCTGCCTGCGTACAGTTCAAATCCATTGTTAAAATTTTGACCCCAGAATGGATCCCGTTTATGGTTGTTGTCACTTTTTTAAGTATCAGTTCTTCAATTCAAAAATTTAAATGCAGAGACAAATTTAGGCAGGCAAGTACTGGAGAATTATTTAGGTATTTTTCTAGTCACATCTTCACTTCTCGAGAAGGGGGAAAAGAGGTCTGCAAAAACGGAGTAAATGAAAATTCTCAGCGTAATTATATCAGCTATAAATAAATCAACTCAGTTTTTCTTTTCTTTCATTTGTCTAAAGAAAAAAATCAATATATATTCCAAAAGAAGAAGAGGCAACATTGAAAATAGCAATTTCAAATAACGTCTAAAAATTTGGCCTTAAAACTTTCGTAAGCTTGGTAAAGTTCCAGATTAGTTTGAATTTTGAATCGACACGACAAGTTTGAGATTAAAACAGGTTAATAAAATCTCTGTCTCGAACTTTCGACGGCTTTTACCGCCAAATTAGGCGCTTCGTTTGTAAATCGAGATGAAATACGGGAAAAGTTCCGAAAAATCCCAAATATTCCTGAAATTCTCCGATTTGAAAAAGTTCCGGGAAATTCTCCGGAATTCGAAAAAAGTTCCGAATCCGGAGAATTCTCCGGGAAACGGGAGCCCTGGCACCGGGGAGACCTTGGGCGGTCGAACGGGTCGAACTCGCAGGTGGGCAGGTGGAATAGACGCTATTAGTACACGTCACAGAAAAGCGATATATATCGATTTTTTCGCATTGGTAGTATTGAAGGAGGTTATGTCAATGTTATTGCTTAGATCCAATTTGATATAATGGAGAGTCCCTAATGCCCGTACCCCCTTGACGTCACAATGCTTCAAGATGGCAGCCGAAATCGAAATGCGACCTCCATCCTCCATCCTTCAACATCAACTTGCTTGCTTGAGCTTGAATGCTTGTGCCATGTGCCTGCATGTGCCAGTAAACAAGACAACTGCCCAGAGACTATTCATGCCAGAGATTAGAATTTTTGTGTGGAATGTGCTTGTGTTTTTTTGAAAAACTTTTAAAAATATCGTTCGCAGTAGTTGGTATCTAAAATCTGTAAGACATGGACAATTCTCTACAGTGGAACATCACTGACAGTTTAGACAATGGTAACGTCGAGGACTCGAACTATGTTGATTGGATGTATGGAAGAATTGGCATTGTGTTTTTAATTGAATGCACCCCTGCCATGTTTATGAAAGCAGAAGACAGATCAGAGTCTTTCTTCCAACTGTCCCTCACTGCGGTGAGAGAGCTAATAAGAAGAAAAATCAGAGCTTGCAGTAAAGACAGTATTGGAGTTGTGTTTTACGGGACTGTTAAACAGGACAAGTCAACAAATCCAAACGCCATTACTACCTTCCTTGAAGTTAGAGAACCATCTCCTGACAGTATCCTGAAAATCGATGAAGTCGTCAATCTGTCTAAGGCTGAGTTTGAAAATCGCTATGGCTTCTCACAGGATTACTCGATCGGGGATGGATTATGGCACTGTTCTTCAATGCTACGCAGCTGTGGCTTCAAATTTCGCGCAAAATCAATCATGCTAGCTACATGCAATGATGATCCTTTTTCAGTCTCACCGAACAAGCAGCATCAAGTCCGTAAGCGGGCAGAGGATCTCCACAAAGATAATGTTGATCTTCAGCTTCTCCCTTTCGGCCAAACTTTTGATATCACTAAGTTCTATGAAGAAATTCTTCAAATGTCTTCAGACCATCAAGTCTCAATCCCAAAGAATATTGAGTGTCAAGATGATTTATTAGCCCAGGTCCTATTTTCAGACTACAAGCCTCGAACATTCGGTCACATGAAATTTTTCTTGAACAAAAATGTTGCTTTTGCAGTGTCGGCTTACAAATTATACAGAAAAGAAACTTTGCCGACTGCCTCCAAAGTAGATCGCATGCACAATAAACCTGTGAAAACTGTAACCACATTCCATGATGCTGATACTGATAATCTCATGTTTCGTTCAGAACTGGCTAAACAAGTTACTCTGGCTGATGCAAAAGTCCAGGTTTCGGAGCTAGAACTTAAGGAACATAAAGCACTTACTGGAAAATTTGGATTTCAATTACTGGGTATGTATTATGTTACGAATTGAGGCCATGGCATGAATAACCATGCATAGCAGAAAACATTGTAAGTAATGAGATAGTAGCATTTGAAGTTTTGATTATTACTTAGATCCGTCGTTGAGTTTGTGCGGTAGAAAAACTGCAAAAGCATTTTTATGTGATTGTTCATACCCTTTTGAACAATCTGCTGGGCATTTTTAGAAAGTTCAGTTTCATCCTTAAAATTGTTGATTTAAAGCATGTTGTTTTACTTAGGTGGTTATTCCACCCATCACCCTATCCAAAGGTAAGATGGCTGATTAATTGTTTGAGAAATAAATTCGATGCTTTGCAACAGTCATAGACTGGCCTCTAATGAAAATGACAGACCTGTAACACTGATGAAGCATGTGACTGCGTGATGGACAGAAAAACATTGAATTGTGTGTGGGTTTGCAGTTATACTTAGCTAGTTGTTCCTCCCAACACCAAGTCTCAAGATAATATGGCTGTTAAATTGATTAGAAACACAAATTGATGTTTCGTGACTGTCATATAACACAAAGTGATGCAAATTTGTTGAAAAATACCTGTGCTTGTATAGGTGGTTATTCCATCCACCTGCCAGTCGGTCTGACCTCACTGCACTGAAAGTAGATTCTTTAGCCAATTAATCAAGGGATGGACTTGTCATCACTAAGTACTTACCAGCAATACCCAAGGATTCAATAATTGAAATGGACTGACAGGGGGAATAACCACCCATATGCGTACAGGTGGTTATTCGTGCGATGGCCTGAATTAAATTTTTTCTACTGTAGGTATTTTTGCGTGTATGACGGAAACGGCCATTTCCATACTCAAGTGACATAACAGTAGTAGCTGCAATGGATTGCATTTAGCAAAAAGGAACCAGCGCGTTTACAATGCTTTCAAAATTGTGCAACTCCTCCTTCTCTTTTAACAATACTTAACATTTGCACAGTACCCATTAATCTTTACACAATTATTTTCCTTTAAAATTAACCATTTTTTTTGTGGAGAGCCCTTAACTGTTTTTTATTCTGGGAGCTTCTTTGGATGATTGTGAAGAGGCAAAATTTTTACAACACTGTGATCGCGCTGGTTCCTTTTTGCAAAATGCGATCCATTCCAAAGTCAGTGCTGCATTTAATGCGAGACAGCAGCTCTAAGGCCCCCAATCAAAGACTGAAGAGCTCTTTTTCGGCTAAAGTGGATCTTTTTGCTGTTTTTGGCCCATAGAGTTATAATCTGAAACTCCTCAGCTCGTTAGACGAAACTGACACGTCCGTAGACACCAACATTTTTTAATTCCGTCACTTCGTTGCTTTCAAAAGCTTTTGTAACCTCAACTAAAAACTTAAATAAGCACGATCGGTGTAGTTATGGTGCTGGTGACTCCTGGGCTGTGTCGCCCTTGTTGGGGGATTGGTAATTTGACCAGATGTGGCCTCCGCCACTCATAATTTGCTTTGCGGAAAATGTCTCATTTTTCAGCTAAATGTGCATGTTGATCCTCTTTTACAGTAATGTGCAAGGAACAAATTTAAGGATGAACTTAACCGTGAAAGAAAAGGAACAACCCAACTAAAATGCACCTAGGCACCTAGATATTCTGAATTTCTGGAACATCCCTCCGTTGAATAAAATTTACCTAAAACTTGGAAAAATCAAATTTTTGATATCATTAAGGGTTTCGTATCCTAAAATGTGTTTCCAGATTGGAATGTCTGTTTATGCTTCACACTTTTCATTATATTTAAGTGCTTTTCTAGAACAATGATCTCTCCTTACCCTGCTAAAAATTTCCCCAGGGAATGACATGTGATCACATTCGCTCCCAGGCTAATGACATGTGATCACATGCGCTCCCAGGTGAATGACATGTGCTCCCAGGCAAATGACACGAAATCACGGGTGCTCCCCTGGGAGCTAACATGTGACCGGTGCGCTCCCCCTGGAGCCCACATGTGACCCGAGTGCTCCCATGGGAGTGTGCTCTTGTGGGACCTCTTACAGTGTCTCGTGGATCATCCTAAAACTTCAGGGAAAATGTCTCGGGCCTACAAGTGACTGCAGCCCACCATGTGCAGTGGAGCATCACAAAACTATATTCATGGGAAATGCATACAGGTCCTTACAGTGTCCTGTAAACGTGTCACTGAACATGGGAATGGATACAGTGCGACAAAACACTGCATCTTTATCTACTTTAGATGCTTTACAAGTCATATAACCTGTGACCTTGATGTTTCAGGTTTTAAACCAAGTAGTGCAGTTAAGTTTTACCACCACTCACAATCATCTCTATACATCATCCCTGCAGAAAAAATGGTCAAAGGCAGTGAGGTGTTGTTTGTTACCCTCCGAGACTGCCTGCTTGAACAAGATAAAGTGGCAGTATGTTACCTAACTACACGGCGTACGGCGAGCCCAAAACTTGTTTACTTGATACCTCAGAAGGAACAAATTTTAAACGGTAAGCAGAAATTAAAGGAGTAGGTACCTATCCCCCTTCTTTAAATGCAGTAAAATAACTGGGTCTCAGATCAAATAAACCGTGACTTTCTCGTGTCTGTATTGGATGAAATCTCCATTCGCCATCCATTTATTTGTCTCGAAAGTACATACGTTTGTTTACATGAGTTCAAAACATGTAAGCTCAAAAGAAGCGTTCAACAAATTTGATCATAAGATCTAATGTTATTTTTGTCCAAAAATTTTCTATCCAAACATTGTCTTTGCCTGATATTTTATGCTGTTCTTTGATCATAGAATTAAGCTTCAAATAATTCATAGTTTATTATTCTATTCTTTGATTTTTAAACTCTTTTATTGCATTCATTTCAGGACTCCAAGTGCAATCTGATGGATTTCATGTAGTGTTTTTGCCGTTTGCTGAGCAGTTTCGCAAAGACATTCCTTTGAACGATGTGCCAGAAGTCCCTCCCGATCTCGAGAATGTAGCAGAAAGAATGGTGAAGAAACTGAAACTGACATATAGCCCGACAATGTTTCATAACCCCAAACTGGAGACATTCTGGGCAGGCTTGGAGGCATTAGCTCTAAACCAGGATGAGGTGGTACCAATCGATGATTTAAGTAATCCTGACCCTGACAGCATTAGTCAACGACTCAAAGGTATCTATGAATATCCCTGTGTATCTTAAATTTACAAACTATTGTCGGTGCCTAAGTTAATATTCCAATGACAGACTGTTGTGAGTTGGGCAAAAGATACTTTCAATGATAAGGTCCCATTTGACTGAATGTCATCGGTTGTATTGAGTATCACAATATTAAAAATTCTTTGTCTCATCAATATAACAAAAATATGTATTAAGCTAGCGTTACATCAATTAGGTAGGTAGTTACGCTTGTAAGAAAAATTCCCCTAAATCCTTGAATGTAAACTAAATTTTTCAAAGAATATGGATGGAAAAAAAATTTTGAGCCTAGGGGATCTGGAATCCCTGAAGGCAGGAATGTAATTTCATTTCATCAATTCTTACAACTGCCATCTGATATGCAGTGAGTTTATCAAAGTAGGAGGTGCGCAGGAAATGTCCAATCAGACACTTTCTGCATCACAACAGAAGTAGCCAAATCTATGAATAATGGCAGGAGATTTGACTATCAGGAAGTCAAAGTCCTGTATTATAGGAAGTTCCAATCCCTTAACTAGCGGGTTGGACCTTAAGAAGTAGAATGTACAAGAATGAATATGCAGCAATTTTGAAAATGCCGATGCAGTGTCTGTAGGAGGGGATGAAATAAAAATGAAGATCCTAGGATATAAAGTAAGGTAAAGCCCTCAACCAACGAAGTAAGGTCAGTTTTGAGAGGCCTAGTTAAATTTATTTATTTATTTATTTGGCTAATTCGTTCAACTAACATTTCTACCCAAATAGAATATAATTGCAAACTAATAAAAAGAAAAACTAAAGAGAAAACAAAGAATAAGAACAAAAGAAAAGACAGACAAGGAACAACACTAGCGAGAACAAGCTCATGAAATCTTTTAAAAAAAATGAACTAAATCGTATTACAGAAACCTTAACTGTCCGCTTAAGAAATACTCAACTCATTGATGCTCTACAGTTCTGATAAAAAAGCATTCCAAGACCTCAAAATCCTCACAGTGACAGAATTTGTATGATATTGGGTGCTGGAAGTAACATCAACAAATTGCCAGGCAACTTTGAGTAGGTACGGCACAGCCTTTGATATAGATTACTGCTAAAGTTCTGGACACTAGACGCCTCCTTTGACAATATCAAAAAATAAGCGAAGAACCGTTTAAATTTATTTTCAAAACTAATTTTTTAAAATTACTTTTTGGAGTAAATTGTGCCAAAGCAGAGCCATGATAGGTCTGTCAAGTCAATTAAGTTGATTTTATGCCCCAAATCGTTTCCTCGAGTTTCTCTTGAACCATCAATTTAAGATTGTTAGAAGAAGAAGGTCTAGTCAAGAAGAACTACTGGGAAAAAAAACTGTCAAAGCCTTTGATCATCAGATGATATCCATCTGTCTACATTTATGAACTTTATTTTTTTAGGTATATCAGAAGAGCTCAAGCACTTTATGAACAATGCACTCGGACCAACCAAGACTTCACAAAAAAGGCCGGCCAGCGCTAGTAAGCAGCCAGTGAAAAAAATGAAGTAGTACTTCTTGTCAGCCATCAGTGTTACCTATGCTGATTATGTCAGCCGGAAATATTAACTCAATCAAAATTTGATGTATGTACAAGGGTCGTCCAGGAAGTGAGTTTACTTACATTCTGTCTCCTCAATTAATGAAGAATGGAAAATAAACCAGCACTTTGAGCTAACATGCTACAGAATTTAACACAACAACTCAGGTAAAGGGGTTTTATGGACCCATTACTTTTCTTTACATGGCCAAAATTTCAATGTGCATCATCAGCAAGTGAGCTGCCATATCTAAGTATGGCTTATCACACGTAGGTGACCAAAGGATGATTCAATTTCATGTAAGTCACAGAACAAGTTTCATGTTCAGAACACTTTATTCTAACAAAATTGCTAGATTGATAATCAGTGAGTCCTAAATGCACCGTATGAACAGGTTAAGTTACATCTGATCCAATTATGGAGTTAAACTGCTGAATTTTGTTCTGTAAATTGTGCTCTGTTATCGTCATCTCACCAATATGTGTGGCTACAGTTGCTCACATTCTGGTTAATCTATGTTTAAATTATGTATAGGCTGAATATTTCTTTAACTGATGTCACCTAGGTGGAATTTCTTTGAGAAAAGGCAGGATGAAGAAAATGATTATATACGATTCAGCCTCCAAGTGAGAGTTAACAGCGACACTTCAATTACCTGCTTTTCCAGAGGAACTGATATGAAAGTAAATACGATCATTCTCGCAATTTTCTAACAATGAAATATGTTGCTGTATTTTACATGAAGTCCAACCATCCTCAAGTTCCTCATTTGTGATATGCTATACTGGGTGTTGGTGAGCACCGGTCCACTATCTATTTCTTGGACACCGCCGAAAATTGAGCTTTGGGACGAAAATTTGATGGGGTAATTCAACCCCAAAGAATTCAATGAAAATATTTTCAGTCCCCCATAACCCCATTTTGGGGAGGTTTTAAGGGGGTGCCCCCTGTTTCTGGCATATTTCAAATGGGAAGGGTATGTTTTGACTTCGGCTTTAAATTCTATGACCAAAAATAAGAACTTTTTGTTCAGTGCTCTTTTTCCTTAAACTCCCTTTTTCTTAGTTACGTGGTATTTTTTGAGCAAATTTCATTTAGACACTGTACCTAGGCGTTTAAATCATCCAATTTTCAAAATCTAAAATTGTCCTGGTAGAAGAAGTCAATACTACATGACCACATGTGGCTGTGCCACATGACCCCTTTTAATTCAAGATTATGGGGACCACGACCCCTCAAAAATTTTGGGGCTTTCGAGGGCCTTAAGTCGGAAATTCAAAATGGCAAGGGTATGTTTTGACTTCAGATTTAGATTCCGCGCGAAAAGTTTTATAGAATCCATATGGCGTACAGCCTGTTTGCCCCAAATTACTGTAGAACCCCATTTTTCCACAAGGAGGTATGTACTATTGGAGGAGGCAAAAAAAAAATTGAGGTAAATAGGCCGTACGTCTTAACAATTCTACATAAATTTTCGCGTGGAATCTGAATATGAAGTCAAAACATACCCATGCCGTTTTTAATTTCCGACTTAAGGCCCTCGATAGCCCCAAAATTTTCAAGGGGTCGTGGTCCCCATAATCTTGAACTAAAAGGGTTCATGTGGCACAGCCATAAAAAGGTATTGACTTATTCTACCAGGACACTTCTAGATTTTGAAAATTGGTTGATTTTAACGCCTACAGTGTCTAAATGAAATTCGCTCTAAAAATGCTACATAACTCAAAAAAAGGGGGTTTAGTGGAAAAGAGCACAGAACAAAAAGTTCTTAGTTTCGGCCATCGAATTTAGAACCGAAGTCAAAACATACCTTCCCCATTTGAAATAAGCCAGAAACGGGGCCACCCCCCTTATAACCTCCCCAAAATGGGGTTATGGGAGACTGAAAATATTTTCAAAGAATTCTTTGGGATTGAATCACCCCATCAAGTTTACATCCCAAAGCTCAATTTTCGGCACTGTCCGAGAAATAGATAGTGGACGGATGCTCTCGAACACCAGCAGGTCGATTGTTGAATCATTATCGAATGATTCTGATCGATAACTCCCTATCTTCACAATGCTGTATATCGATCAAGGTCATTCGATAACGATTCAACAATCGACCCGCTGGTAGATGCAGCAACTCACTAACTGATTAAATTCCATTAAATTCAGACCATTCAGAGGAGAAGTGGTCTTCGAAAAATCCTCTTCTTAGAATTCTTAAGAACCAAATTTATTAAGGTTAAAGTGGTGTGTTAGGAAGCTGAGAGTTTGGCTTTTTATCAATTTTCTTTATGTCTTGGTTGAAGAGGCATAAAATAGATAAGCCTCTTTCCTGGATGACCCTTACAGTGAAGAAATATCTGCTGCAGATTCCTATCGATGAAAGACTTTATTTATGCATTAATATGCCCCACGTCACTCCAAAGAAAGACACACAAGAAAGCTGGATTGCTGATATGCTATAAAAAAAGTCCAAAGTACACTTTTTAACAATTTTATAGATATAATTAAGGCACATCAATAAATAAAAAAGTTTAAAGTATGAAAGCTGACTAATAGAGATAGATCATAACTTTAAAACAAAGTAAAATTCATAATAATTATCAACTCATTTGAAATCAAAATAATTAAGTAAGGAAAATTAGTAGTTTTAATAATTACTAAAGAGTCAATTACTTAATTAGTTTCGTTTCCCTCGCATCCCTTCTAACTCTATCCTATTTATGGCATCAAACTACCTGGTAGTTGGATGGAGTAATCTTTGCCTTTGCCTCACCGTCCAATGAAAGTGGCAGAGGAACACTGCTATCAGTTATCACTCAGATTACTTTTATAGCATATCAGCACCTCAGCTTCAGTGTCCATTGTTTTCCGTACAAAGTCTGTCCCAAAATATTGACCTGTGGATCTGTGAAAAAACCCTACCATATTGCAGAACCGGAAGAAAGAAAGGGCATTGGAAAAACAAGGTATAATTCCCAGGGCATGGACTGGATTTCAACCTATAGTCATCCTGATCACAAGTAGGCGTTGTTACGCACTTTGCCACATCCGTCTTCAGAGGTGTGAGTGCAAAATAATGTACTTTAGGTGCATTGCTCAGTGATTCATGTCTCTGCGTAGTGCGCACTCTGGAAAAGGTGATACAACTGGGGTCATATTTACTGGTATCCAGGGGCCAAAGGCAAACACGATTAAATAGGGGTCAATGGATTTTCATGATTTATATTTGGCTAATCATCAGCCGATTTTAAGGAGGTCACAACACGATCATAAGGTAGTTGTAACCCTTGTTAGTTGAAATGACATTTCAGAGTTGTGGGATAAAAAAGGAGTGTTAAATGTTTCTTTTAATTTTAAATCCGTGGTACCAAGAGCTGGGCAGCATATAACAAAATTGCAAACTAAGTTTAAAGTGGTCGAGATGCAGTCTGAAACTTGTCACTAAGTGTTACCATGTTGACCAAGACATTTTGTTCGCTTGCAAGCGTAAGCACCTGAGATCAGCTAGAGATTTCATAATTTTCATAGTGCTTCAGTCCTGAGCCAATTTTAACTTTTCGCATCTTTACTTTCCACAGTGTCAAAAATCGCAACAAAATTAATCTTCCTTTTGCGGCATAAAATAGAGCACTAAAGCTCCCCTTCGAGTTATTCAATGGTGTCCGTGCAGCACTCCGGCGACTCAAATTAGAACTTGAAGTGGCAAGTCGTTTTGCCACTGGATCTCTAGCACTACTAAAATAAATTATAGGACTTCTTGCCTTGGGGACTTAGGAGGTTAAAGAAGTCATGGCAAAGTGTAATTTTGCCATGCATGAAGACCCTGCCATGGGAATCGGAACAAGAGCAGCACTACGCCACCCTCTACTACGTTTGCTGTGGTTTGTCCGTTCCTGAAATAGTGAATGAGATGAATATGGACGACATTTGTGTTTTCAAGAGAACTAAGACCCTCTTTGGTCAATGGTCACTGATGTTTCTCAACTATTAGCGTGTGACGATCATGCCCCAAGAATCATTCACAAAGATTCACTACTAATCAATTAGTGTCTCAACCAACTCAGCAAAATTGGCTCAGCAATCAGGAAAACGTTAGAAAAAGGCCCGATATTGTTTAGTTATCATGAAAAGCCTCTTTGAAGCACTGCTCTTGTTCAAACTCTAGGAGCAAGATAGTTACGCAAGGTGAGTGATATTCTTTTTCACTTTGATAGCACTTGCTGACAAGTTAGATGTCGCATCTAGACAATTGCCAATTTAATTTCACTCATGCGAAATGCTGCAAGCGTTTCGAAGGGACACTCTGTAAAATGGATAATTCCGAAGGATCTTGTCACCAAAATTAGCTGTAACTTGATGAATTCTCAGCCATACAGCTTTTCTTTTGTTTCCTATATAGCAAAAAATTTGACCGGTATCCTTTTACATATCATATATTGATAGCAAGTGTACCTACTTAATTTTTAATTGATAAACTGACCGTTGTTTTGGGTCTGTAAGTATTTAAATCTCATATTTGAAGAGAATATTTTTCAGAAGTTTATAAAGTTGAGCCTTGTTTCATTGCTAGCCTGTATGAATGTTAATGAGGGAATACAATGGTCCAACCAGACGCTCTAAACTCTTCTAGGAAACCTACCTGCGGTCGTTTTCTCAGACTAAAATTACAAATTCCTGCAGAGCTTGGTGAGGATCTCACCGTGGAGAATTGTCAATGCATCGAGACGGGCAGCCTTTGCAGGTTCGACCAGAATTAGACGCTACTCAAAGGATGGGTTGGGTGTCAAATCGCTTGTGATCGAGGCAAATCTCAACCGATGTGAGTCTAACTGAAAGGCGAATCGCTTGTATTTAAAGTATATGTATGCCGCTCTTACTGCCTTTGTAATATGGGCTTTGGCCTCTATTGCTATAAGTAGAGGGAGGCACTGATGATATGCTTAATTTGCTGTTCCAGTGTCTCTCCTCCCTTAAAACTCATTCCTTGTATCTTGTTGGCCCATAACAACTACTAACGTCTAGTTACAAAAAATTATCTCGTGTAAATGTTGTTCTCAATTTTGTAATTCTTTTTCAATAAAAGGGGGAAAAAAGCTCGAGTTGATCAAGCTTCTATGAGATATGCATGAATTCTGTGAACTTAGCCCAAGGTGGAATTTTCTCACACTTTGAGGTATGTATAAATTGACTTTAATTTCTTGAATGACCTCCTTTTTTAATTGGTAATTGAGATAAAAAAAGAAGCATTTTTTATTGAAGCCTCTCTTGTCACCTCACTATCGATTGTGTCTATCTACCCCTTGTCATTTTTAGCCTAAAAATTGTGCGGTAAAAATAGAAATTCTCTTGTTAAATTGCTCCATCATGTATCCTTCTGACCTTCTCTAAGCCAAATATTTCATTAAATTCGATTATTGCCTTTAGTTTTGTACTCTATCTGCTTAATAAAATTTTAATGAAACCAGAAGTGTATTGGGTCTTAATTTCCTTTAATAATGACTCATATTGAAATAAAACTGGGAATTAACACATTTTTCCCAGGTGAAAATATCCTTCAATAACCTTGAATTTTTTTCTGTAAAAAGAAGAAAAGAAAAAAAAAATTCCACTCTTCAGGGAAAGTTTAGGTAGAGTCTGGTTCAGTTTTGTAAAGAACACGAATATATGAATTAAAACTACAAATATTTTAAACTAGACTGGAAAGTGAGTTTCCGCGGACCTGAGAGAAGATAGGGTTGAGAGGTCATTGAGTCACTTTACCTACTAAAAATTAGAGTTTTGGGATATTTTCTATGACTTAACATTCACTGAAAAAAAAGGATTGCTAATTCACCGATTTAGGGTGGAGCAAAATTTGCTTCACTTCGTAAAGCTTTCTTATCCGTGCACGGTGTTGAATCAAGTGAACGATTAGCACGAATTGCTACACCGATTTGCTACATCTGCGCGCCTTCATGCAGTTAATTTTGTATCGAGTGGCCTGGAAGTGTAACTGCATTTTTTGGTATCGGTACTTTGCAAACAGTAAAAATAGCTCAAAAATTAGGCTGAAATAGCGGAATTTACGAAAGAATAACTGAAAAGGTAACAGACTTAGCTTTTCAGGGAGCAAAATCACCTACACGCGTGTGTGTAAGTTAGCTGAAATTTGTGTAGCGATTTTACCTGCATGGTTTGCACGTTCGTTTTTTAGCTACACCATGCCATGAAATACCCGCGTGCAAGGCAATTTTAGCAATATTTTTTTTTCAGTGTTGTTAAAAAGATAGTCTGTCAGGAGAAGCATTGCGGCATGCTTCTCCAAAGACAACTTTTGATTTTTTCAAATTTTTCTTGCAATTTTCACTAAAAATGGTAATTCATCGTGGAGGGAGTTGGATACCTACCCACGATTATTGTTGCTTGGAAAGTTGAAGCATTTCGCCTGTCATGTGGAAATCAGTTATTAAGGGCAAAAAGAGAAGGCCTTTAACTCCTGTATTCCCCCTTTGGGCAATTTAGGTGAAAGTGAGAATTTTTCCCTTCAAATGCATATGCATTCAAATTCAAATGGACTAGAATGCAAAATTCTAGCTAAGAATCTTTAAAACTTGTAAAAGAAGTTTTGCGGCTTTTCAGAAGATAAAACATTACTGATTTTGGGATACGGAGAGGGTATTTTTCTAGAAAGTGATAAAACTTCAATAATTCTTTTCTCAGATAATATTAGACATACTGTGGAAACAGGATATTACAACATTGCTTTTAACGACAAATTGGTCATGATGATCTCTGGTTGCATTTGCTGCTGAAATCCAATTATTGCTTTGTATTTTTGAATCGGTTATGACAACAATTGGCTGAAACAATAAAATAAGGCTGGTCCTTAGAAGGTCGTTTTATCTAATTTCTACTGCATATACGGCTAGAAATGTTTATCTTGAGTTGACCTGGATATAGACAGAGTAAAAAAAATCATAAAATGCTAGTCCATGGGTATCATTTTATCTATTGAATTGACATGGAGCATGATGTTACATTACGTTGTGGTGCAGAGGTAATAAAAAAAAGCAAATAAACATTGAATCCTTTTATTACAGCTCTAAGTAAGAATTTCAACAAGATTTCTGCGGGTAAAGTTGGAAAATTGATGCAATAAAACTTGCAGGGCGAGAAAAGATCATGAGAGCATTTTGATGAATTTTTTATCTGATTTGAATATGGTCTTTTAATATTTACTTCAGGGCAATGTACCTGACCTTTTTCCCTTAGAAACAATTTGAACTGCTCTTTCCGGTAACAAAATATTTCACTAGTCTGGTTAGAAATTAAAGGTAATAAGACAGTTTTTTTTTTTTTTTTTTTTTTTTTTTTTTTTATAATTATTTTTACATGATTTTACAACACTTAAAGACAGCATCAAAGCGGTCAAAGGTCTCAATTTGGAAATTTGACTAACAACTAAGGTGTTGTAATGATTACAATGATGATAGGTGTTGATTCATTACAACACCTTGGTTCTTATTCAAATTTACAAATTAAAATGGTGTTGTTCCAATCAAAATTTATAAATCTCAATTTGGTATGATTCATGATTTTCCTTACTAACATAAATATCATGAAAAAGCATTTTAAAAAAACAAATACTTCATATCTAAACTTGATAGAAAAGAGAATCAAAAGTTAGTGACTTTTGATTCACGAACTGACTTGAAAATGGAGGATCCGATCAGTCGATTCAGATTGCATCTTTAATATGATTCTGTAACTTACAAGATATATTTTCTACTCTTAATTTAATATGCCCCATTATATCTTCAGACAATTCCTCGACACTAGAGTACCTTGATTTCTGGAAGCTGAAAACATCTTGAAGTAATTCTAGCACCTGTTCCTTGAAATGATTACAAATTTCTTTCAGATCATTGTCCGGTCCTAAAAAGCCCCATGCCATGAGTGGGGACATTTGTTCAGATATTGCATAGAAGTGTGCCATGAATCCATCCGAAAATTTTAACTTTCTGCGCTTGGCTTTTAACACTGACCAAACTGCAGTTGTTAGAGCGGTTTCTTTGAAGCCGTTGGATAACCAGCGATTTTGTACGACAGCCAGAACAGATGAGGGTGGTGTTTCTAGGTCTTCAAAGGCATCCATCAAAATATAATCCATAACTACATCATAAAAAGTCAATGCTTTGACACCTTTGACACTTAGCTCATCCTCCATATCCTGCCAGCTGGTTCTTTTTTGCAAGAACAGCAACATTTCTTCATACGCAACCAAAAAATCCTTTGGATCTTTGTCTGCATACAGCAATAAGTCTGTTAGAATCTGTCGACCTGCATCAGCAACCCAGGTATAATTTTTCTGATCCCGAAAGAGCCACTGGAATGCAAGCCTGACACAATGAAGCTTGGCCAAGTACTCAACATCTGAGCTACAATGAAGTAGTTCTGTCCGTAGATTTCTGTAAGGGATTCCTGAATCATCTAATTGTCGCAGCGCTGATTGATATAGTGGAAGTTTTTCTATGTCTGTCAAAATATTAGCAAACTCTTCAAATTCACGCAAATCTGCAACTTCATCTTGTGCCGAAACAAAAGAGTCCGGCGATGAATACTCTCCAAGTGAGAAATTAGCTTCAGAGCCAGCACCTCGAGCAGAACTTCCAGCACGGAATAACACTGATCGTTGGTCAATGAATAACAGTTCACCTTGATCTTGTAGCTTGTAAGCGCAATCTAGAAGTTTCTGCAACTCCTTTGCAAATTCCGCTTCTTGTTCATCCGTCAATGCAAGTCCTTTGGACGACGCATGGTCATATGCTGCCATAGCATCTTCCCAATAGTTGATGCTAGTCTCAAGGGCCTCCATCCCCATGAGGCCAAGCTGCTGTGGGGTTAAGTCAGCAGCACTCGTCACCCCTGCTATCGATCCAGATGCAACCGAGAGTCTGTCTGAGAATGACATGACAGAGCCTTGTCTGTGAAGCGAGCGCAAGGCTGGACTAGCAGAATGTCTTCCTGTCAAAATGTCTCCATTAGGACTTGGCACGGGTGAGAGAAACCCTTTCAACTGTCTTGAAGTCAATGATTTATAGCCATTGCCGAAAGTTCTTTTTCGTCGCCGTAAATACCGTGCAAGGACGCCAAGAAGTGCAAATCCTGCAGTTACAGACAGAACTACTTTGGTTGAAGTGGACAATCGGGCATTTTTAACAGTTACTAACATTGTGGGTAAACTTCGGAATGCAATTATGAGGGAAGATAAATTTATTTTATGTGGTTCAGCCATGATTCCCAAAAAACTTTTTTCCCCCCCACTTTAATCCCTTTGATAGAATACCATTGTGACTAATTATAAACGGAGCAAACTCAAGTACCAGTCGGACTAAACTAACTTGATCTCATTTTCATTGACTAAAAGAAGTTCAAACTACATTGAAATTCATCTGAGTGATGAAAAGGAATTCCACAAAGAGCCTAATTCTTTTCTTCAGTGTTTGCATTTTCCAGCTGCTGACTGATATAGGTAAACGCATTTGATCCAGCACCTTTTACAGTTGAAGGTAGCTTCCCGAGGAACTCAATTGATTTTACTACACCCTTGTTCCAATAATTTTTGGCAGTCCTTGATGCGCACTCAGTAGTGGGTAACTGAATCTGAAAATGAAAAAATGAAAATTGGATGAAGTGAATGAAATAAACATGAGACCCTACAGTGCATCCATATAATTATTACTCAGCGTGTGTGTGCCTGGCGGTGTTTATTTAATGATGATAGAACTGCACGGCACAATGGAAACGATTGTGATGAGTTCCTCATGATAATGCCCATTTTGTGCCCTGCATCCTATTGATAGCTGATAGTAATGTGGCAAAATTTAGATGTTTCCCTCAAATTGTCTTAAGTTGGACAGGAGATGAATTATACAGATTTGTGTAATACGGGTTACAAACATGCACCTTATGAGGCAAATCAAGAACCTGAAGTGAGACCAATGATGGCGATAGAAAAATTACCCTTGAGCATCACTCTGCGCACTGATGTAAGTTTCTGATCTTAAATATAAAGATAAGTAGGTAGGTAGAAAAGTAACTGACTACCTGCTTTTTTGAGTTTGAAGAGCTGAAAGGAAACTTACATCTGATAAAGGAATTTTTTGCTTCACAGTTGCAGCATAAGGAGCAAGAAGCTGCTTTCCTTGCTTGAGAAGCTGTTCTGCTTGAGCACTGTCTCCCCAGATACCAAGCTCACTGGAATAATAGACGAAACCAGCAACACTGCCAAATCTCAGTCCATAGCTGAAACATGTCACAGAGAAAAGAGGAATATTTTATTTTTTTAACCAACGTTTTATTAAATAAAATAAAAAGATTTGGAAGCAATGCCATCTCCTCCAGCCTCCCCACTCTCTTCCAACGAAGAGAAGGGGGGGGGGGGGGGTGTGCACAGATGGAAAGCATAACTTCAAAGGCTTGAAAAAATTCCAACATATTAAATTTTTTAATTTTTTTTTTTCTTTTTCGGAACTTTTAATATCAAACCTACTGCATAACATTGCAAGTGATCATCCTGCTGATGCCGCAATTTATGCTACGGGGAAGTACTTCGGGAAACCATGTGATTAACAACCTATTTCTGGATATTTTTTACTTACATACTTCTGTTGCTGGAACAGAGGGAAATTTTTCTTGCAGAGGAGCCCTAGTGTCAACATATCATATATATAAGCTCCAAGACCTCCTAATTTTGCGTAACTGGTAACGCTTAGTTTCAGCGTTCTACCGGGCCGATTTTAATAGTTTTTGCGGCTATCGAAGGGCAATTGTCTCTAGATAAGCCAACTTTTTTCAGATTTTCAAAATATGGCCCAGGTTTTTTCATATGAAGCCCTGAATATTACTATTGTTTAACCCTATCAACCTACCGAAAATAGCAGAACTAACAATAATAAATAAAAATCTAGATATACAAAATAGATAATATAACAAAATTAAAGGAATTAACTTTATCAAAGTACCTAGAATAAAAAATCTAATTCATTCAAGCTTGCCACAGACCTCATGCTCATGTAGAATCACCAGTTCAAGGATCAATAATTCTAGCATCAGTTTTACTAAAATTAGGATCATACGGATTAATCCGAGCAACAAGCATCAATTCAGAATTTAATAAAAATTTAGAATGGATTATTATATCTTATAGTCTTTAAGTTAAATATATAAAATAAGATAAATGTAAGTATGACTAAAGAAAAAATCACTTGAACTAAATAGTATCCTATTGTTGATTCCCTAGTTCTATAACCCTTTCCTGCTACACATACCCCAACAAACATCACAAAACATACTTCTATTAAATATCAAATTAAATATAAACTGAATTAACATTGAGAGGCCTAGTAAAGACCCAAAGTTTCAAAAATAGGAAATATTAGAAGGAGACCCCAAATCTACAATAAAATTATTAATTTGAGCCAAATTAGATTTACGAACAGACTTATAGTTATTATACATTTAAATTTTTATTCGCAATGGACCTCTGCACTTTTTGATAATTTCATAAATAATCAATAAACAAAGTAAAAGATAAAAGATAAGAAAAAATGAAAATATACTAAAAGGAACTAACATAAATTTAAAAACAAAATAAAATTCATACAAGTTGATTTTAAAAAGACAGGGGAGGATAAACAGTTCAGCCGGTACCGGCTCCTGTCCTAATAATTATTCTAACCAACATAAAAATTAATGAGGGAACTAGAAGCCAAAACCTTAAGTTATTTATACGAGGAAAAGCCATATCAGGAGCACCAATTATCAATGGAATAAGTCAATTCCCATCGCAATTCAAAAGTGGAAAAGTTTTAGATTTAAATTATAATTTAACTTGTTGGTATTACTTAATGATTTTAACCAAAGTTAGTAACTTATTATAGCAATTTTAAATTTTAGTTAGACACTAGTTCATTTTTATTATTAACAATAATATACCTCTTTTTGGTTTTAACTAATCTGCACGAAGGCATGAAAGCCTTAATTATTAAGTCGAAATTAATTGTAAACTTTTTACTTCTACGCAGGCTTGAGATAAAAACTAATTAGCTTATTTATTAGGATTATAAATTAAATAAAATAAGTGTTTATGACAATTAACTATATCGTAGTATCTTGCATAATTGTAACTTTCCTCAATATAATCTATTTAATAATTGTTAATAAGTTTGTTAATAGACGAAACAAGTTTTCTACTTTTGAGTGTGGAATAGATTTAATAACTTCTTTGCGACTTCCCCAATTTGAAAACTTTTCAAAGTGGTAAAGTTGCGAATTCTCCCATTTAAACAATGTAAATTTATACTTTTTGTCATAGTTTGTTTGAGCGTTCTACCGGGCCGATTTCTATGATTTTTGCGTAAATCGACAGGTCATAGGCCCTAGATGAGCCTGCTCTAATCAGATTTTGGAAATAGGACCCAGGTTTTTTTAAAGTCACGTTATAAAATTGAGTGAATTTATGGAATGCTCCGGGACTGCTACCGCTATGCGCGGGAGGATGCGCAGTGGTCGAGGAGGTTGCGCAGTAGCTGGGTAGCCTGCGCATCAGCTCTATACTTATTTACACAAGATTCACGCCGATTATCTCCATACGAGCGGTGGCCGAGTCGTCTTAGACGTCGGATGCGTCCACTGAGTGCACGATGTGGGTTCGATCCCCGACACCTAACTAACTTATTGATTACCTGATTATCATTGTTCGTTGTTTTACTGCAATATTTCATCAAGCTTTCATTCCAAAACGCGTCCTTTTGATTTCAAAAAAAAAAAAAAAATCTTTATTTATCAAAACCAAAAATTATTTCATTCTGAAAGTAAAGTATACCTCATATCGTAATTTTTTAGGGGAAAAATAAAACTAACACTGATAGAAGGGTAAAAATAGGGCCGCGAAGCGCCTTCAGGGGGTTGGGCCGCGTAGCGGCCAGAGGGCGTAGCCCCCTAGTAATGTATAATGGACCAGTAGAAAAGGTGTGATGTGACATTTGTCAAGTCGTTTCTTTCCTCAGTTCTACTGGTATAGTTTAATTCCTGATGTCAGAGGATCTTTCTGTTTTTTCGCTGCCAGCACCTCTAAATATTTTAGATTTGAGGTTTGTGGAGCTAATTAGGTTTAACAATAGGAACTTCAAGACCGGAAGCCTTTACAAGACCAGTGAGGCCTTAGGAATGACAAGAAACTCAACTGGTAATAACAACATGAGAAAAACAAGAAAATTGTGATGTTGACTTGCAGACAATGTAACAAAATGCTACCAGGGCTCTTGGGACGGATTTTAGGAGAGCAAATGCCTCTTCACTTTCCTAATCAGTGTGCTTTCAGGGACCTGAAGCAGGTCACTCTGACAAGTAGAACTGGGGAAAGCAAAGAATAGACAAATCGACGGTGAAACTACCAAACCACGTATCTCGTTTGCGGTGTCTAAAAATCTACGCTCAAATTTTATTTTTTTGAAGTAGACCAAATCAATGTCATTCCTTGAAATTTTCACGGAATTTTCTCCGCACAAAGAGGAAAAATCACAGATATTTTCAAGACTGGACGTTAAGTAGTTTTTTATTTAAAAAATAAAGTATGACAGGAAGTCTGCGACGCCGCAAACCGAGATACGTGGTTTGGTAGTTTCACCGTCGAAATGTCACATCAGAGAATGGCACCATCCAACATAAATTTACATGGTAACCAATGGCGCTGTCTCCAATTGTAGAGATGGTGTCAAAATGGAAGTTCAAAGTGAATCAATTTCAACGATAAGTGGCTCAAAGTCGTACTTGATGCGACTGATGAGTGTTGCAACTCAAAATAGAGCGGCGCGACTACTTTTTGATCAACAATCATGAACTGATCGTATTAATCCATTCATTGGGAGCTTCCATTTTGACAAGTGGACACAGGGCTAATGGGCCCACTGATGATTGATGCACCCAGATTGATGGGACATTTGTCTATTCTTTTCTTTCCCCAGTCCTGGCACAATAAGATGAGCCTAGTCTTAGAACGGTGGCGTAGTGTATTTGCCGTTTATCATTCATTCGATTATGATTTTTCACTTTAGTTCTTATCTTACTTTAATCTGTACTTAGCATTATTTACTTCTTTACAGTTCTTACTTACGTGAAGATAAGTTTTCTTCCCAATTTCACCCGCCTTGACTAAAGCCCCTATCGAAGGTATCGATTCCTCAACATCTATTTCATTCAGAGGAACGTGGATCAAGAGATTAATGGACTTTGTACGCCTCACCACTTACAGAGGATGGTAAAAAATTTGGAAAGATCACAGTGAGAGTGGACAAAAGCATGAATAAGAGCAAACCACACTCGAATACCCAAGAGGTAGGGCTAACAATTTTGAGTTCATGAATGTGAAGGATACAGCAGAGAGTTGAAACCTAGGAGAGACAATGATTATCATGGAGGTGTAAATACCTTATTAATGCTTTCATCATTATATTAAAAGAACAAGAGCACTGTCACAGATTCAAAAGCACCGTTACCACCACCTCCTCCACTTCGCACGGATTGAACGAAACGATCAAACGAATGCACGGGATCGGGGACGGAAAGGCAGAGAAACATCAAGAAACATAACCTACAAATTCCATGGATCGTATTCGATACGGGGGGGCTCGATGTAATTGTCTATCGATTGAGCACCGGGGAGTGCTCGGGCGGTCGAGCTCGCAGGTGGAATCTGTGGAATCATGGTGGAATCATGGAACGTCATCGGAACACAAGAGAGAGACGCGTGCCGGGCGCGCGCGAAATGCTGGTGTTTTTGTAATTGCTTTTTCGTTTTCGTTAACTTTGTCATCATCAAACTAGTGTGGACTCCCGGACACGAAAATATAAAAGGGCAGACGAACAAACAAAAATTTTAACAAATGCTATCGACCTTTCCAATGAGAAAATCCACTGCCTACTGCTCCTACTGCAATTACTTAAAGCAAGTAAAATCCTCTACCCTACAAAAATGGCAAGAATCTGTGGCCGAAAGCTCGAAGATTAGAGGAACTAGACTCGTAGGGCAGAAATGGACATTATGACACGATGCGCATTTTATTTTGGAGGGCCGTTAAAAAATTCACCACTGTTTTTTATAAACCAACGTTGCCACGTCTATACCAGCAAGGGATATAGAACCGAAGTGGCTACTACCACTGGGAGGAGTGGGAGGGGGAGGGGGTGCAGGGGGAGAGGGGGAGAGGGGATGGTTTTGAGGGGAGGGGATAGCCGAGGCCGAGGGAGAAAAAAACAAAATTGTTCAAATGACGGCTGCTGTAAATTCAAAATGGCCGAATTTTTTTTTTTTTTTTTTTTTTTTTTTTTTTCTATCGACCTTTCCAATGAGAAAATTCACTGCCTACTGCAATTACTTGAAGCAATTAAAATCCTCTACCCTACAAAAATGGCAAGAATCTATGGCCGAAAGCTCGAAGATTAAAGGAACTAGACCCGTAGGGCAGAAATGAACATTATGACACGATGCACATTTTATTTTGGAGGGCCTTTAAGGGACATAGAACCGAAGTGGCTACTCCCACTGGGAGAAGGAGGGAGTGGGGAGGGGGGAGGGGT